GTCAAAACATGACAAATGATTAGGTTTTTATAAAGTAACAAAAATGAATTACTTTTCACCCTTTTTTCATCTGAAAGTAATTCCTTAAGAATAACTGAATAAATACAAACTATATTCCCAGCTATGCATAAATGAGAGATCTTACAGAAGTAGACACCTATATCTACCAAATTTTGTGTCAAATATATATCATTCATGCAGAAAAAAGTTCCTGTTAAAACTACAGTAGATTCATACATGCCTACTTAACAAAAAGAGGATTCTGAACACAAAGGTATCAACGTAGGTTATAAGGAATATTTTTTGTAGCAAATACCACATATTAAGCCCTTTAAAAAAATTAAATCCATACAGTTTTGTATATACCAGATTAAACTAGTTTCAGACTAAATGAGATCAACTCAGCTAATATGTAAGTCTCTAAATGATCAATAAGATCTTTGTATAAAACAAGAAATTACAGCTGCAATTTTAATAGCAATTAGATCTAAATCAAACTTCACTTAGATTTGGCTTAAATCTAGAAAAACACTGTACATAAACTGACTTGTCCTTTCCCTTTGTCACCTTCTCAAAACAAAGTAACTTGAAACAGAAAAGCAATTTGTGAAAACATGTATACTTGACTTACTCCCCCCCCCATGCCTTTTTTAAAGCACATGCATAGATTCCATTGTCCTAATGGCCAATGTGAAAGTGTTTGTTTTTTTAAATAAGCCATTTCTTCTGGTCAGATGAGAAGACCACATAAAAATAATACTATTTGTAAAAACAATCACTGAGAAATAACTGACATTCTTATAGTTCATCAAGGTTTATAAAGCATTTTTCATCTCTATCTCATTTAAGCTTCCCAACAACTCTATCAGAGAGCTGTAATAATAACTCTTATGCTCATTCATAGCTAAAGAAACTAAGGCTTAGAATACTAAATGACTTGCCCATGGTCATACAGCTAGAATTATTAGATGCCCAGGTTCAAATTCAGGTCTCTGCTGATTCCAACTGTAGAGCATTCATCCCTATATCACTTTTCCTCAACAGAAAAGCAGAGAAACTGGAAACATTCCAGTCTAAAGTTACTACATCCCTGTCTTTCAAAAGAGTCCAGAAAGAACTTTGCATGCAAGAAGCCAATCTTTTCAGATCTGACCCTGTGTACTGTCAGCTGAAGAAATGATAGGCAATATGAAATTCAAGGAGTACCTCAAAACTCTTCAATCAAATTTTCCTTATAAAGGAGTGGAAAGTCTAGCCATTAAACAAAGTCCTCTTTTGTTCTCACTGTGGTCACCAGCCTAGACAGCCTAATGCCAATGATGCCTAAACTGTATCCCAAACAGTACTTCCCAACTCACATAATATTCCATGTTCCAGATCCATGGCTTTCCACTGGCTCTACCCCATGCTCAACCTCCTCAACTCTGACTAAACTCTTTTCAAATTCCAACTCCTCCAAGAGGCTGTTCCTAGCGGCAGCTAGATGACTCAGTAAAGAGTTACAGGCCAGAGCCAAAAAGACCAGTGTTCAAATACAGCCTCAGATACTTCCTAGCTGATTGACCCTGGGAAAGTCACTTAACCTCTCTCTGCCTCAGGTTCCTCAACTTTAAAATGGGATAATAGCAGGACCTACCCCAAAGGTAGTGAGGATCAAGGGTTTATAAAGAGTTCAGCAGAGTGCCTGGCACATAGTACTATGTGTCTAATAAATGTTTGGTACACTCTTCTTCTTCCCTTCCACCTCCCTACGACCACTAGTGCTTTCCCTCCGTTATTACCTCCTATTTACAGCGTATGTATCTGATACGTACATAGTTGTCTGCATGTTGTTCTCCATTAGGATGTGATCTCCTTGAGGGCAGGGATCCTGTTTTTGCCTTTCTTTGTATCTCCAGTGCTTAGCATAGCTCCTGGTACAAAGGAAGCACTTAAAATGCTTCTGGACTAAAACCACAATCCACCTAATTCAGAACCTGACCATACAGCTTCTACCAATAATTTGAGTTGTAGAGGGAGGGAAGTATGTGACCTCAAGTACTGGATGGGGCTAATTATCCCGGTTGCCCAAAATCTGCCTTAAGAATTGCTTAAAGTGACATGAAACAACTAAGGGGACTAACTCCAAATTTGTGGAGTGACATTTTACAAGTTATTTTCTTCTATAAAATCAAATGGAAGGTTGCTTTGAATAATTTTTCTAAAAGCCCTTTGACTAAATAAGACAGAAATATGTAAAGCACTAAGAAAAATTTTTTAAAAGCACTACCTTACCTATTATTATCTATCTTGTAAGGAAAATTGCCATCTCCCTGGAAAAAAAATCAACATTTTTTCTTTTGTCACCAGAGAATTAAATCACTTCAAAGGCATTTCTGTGTACAGAGCTCCTTGCCCTTTCTCCCTTGAAAATATTTTAAAGTGCAATTTGATTATTATTAATAAACATCAATAATTTCTTTTAGCTATTTCCTACTTTTGCAATGATCATTTTTTCAAAAGCCCCAGTAAAACAGATAAAAATCACTCAAAAACTAGAGCCATGAACTTATCTTGAAAGAAACTTTTAAAAGTTACCAGATTCAAAAGGAATAAAACCTGATTTTTTCCCCTACCTATCTTTATTCCCACACTGCCCTATTATTGTTTCTCAGGGAAATTTTTCCTTAGTTTACTAAAGTGCATTGAAAAAATAAACTAGAACAGTGATCCATGCAAACCCACCTCTGTCCAATGGACCACAATATCAATAACTGACATATAAATGTCATAGTTGAGGCAGCCAGGTGGTGCAATAGATAAAAGTGTTGGACCTAGAGTCAGTTAATTCAAATCAGGCTTCTGACACTTAATGACACTGTGACCCCTGACAAGTGACTAATCTCTCATAAAATGGAAATAATAATTGCACCAACCTACCAGGGGTTTTTGTGGAGATCAAATGAGATGATATTTGTAAAGCGTTTTGCAAACTTGATAGTACCACACGAATGCTAGCAATTATTAGTTCTTTAAGGTATGCATAGTAACTTCATTTAAGTTTCACCAGAGGCGGGATGATAAATGCAGAACTTGATTTCAAGTCCAGTATTTGCCACTAAGCCATTCTTAACTTTATTTCTAACTAAAGCTAGTTTCCCCCCCCCATTATTTTTATTTTTTCAGTCAGGAAAAAGAGATACTGTTATCTATCTGCTCCTGCTCCACTATGTTAATCAATCATCCTAAAGCTCAGATCAGACAAAGCTCATCCCTCCTCTCCCACCCCTCCATTCTGGGGGCTCCCTATCACCTCTAGGCTCTTTTTGGCATTCAAAGCCCTTCAAAACTTTTCCTTTGCCCCAGCATACTCTGCAATCCACAGGCAAGGACCTCTCTGCGGTTCCTCCCACAAGGCGGTACATCTTAATGCTCGGGGCATTTTCAATGGCTGTTCCCCATGCCCAGAATACTCTCCTGTTCATCTCCTCCTCCTCCTACCTTCCTTGGCTTCTTTCAAGGAGCAGCTAAAATCTTATATGTTACAAGAGGCCTTTCTTCATCTTCTGTAATCCGAATGCCTTTTCTCTATTGATTATATCCAAATCATTCTTTATATATTGTTTCAAGTCGTTTTCATATTGTCTCTCCATTAAATCAAGATCTCCTTAAGGGTAGGGACCTAGCTTTTGCCTTTTCTTTGTAACCCCCCGCACTTAGCATAGTGCCTAGCACGCAGTAAGCCCTTAAAAAATGTTTCCTGACTTGAAATAACAAGCATGACAACCTCAAAAGATGCATAGAATAGGTGAAGTATTTGCAAAGTGGAAGACAGGGGGCAGTACTTCGAAAATTTACTCCGCAGCAGAGCAAAAGGAGGATACTTTAATATGCAAGCATAGGTATAAAAGGAAAAGCAAACAGTTCGTTTCTTATTACAGTACTCTGAGTTTAAGTACCTCCACTAGAGTCCTACTCCAAGGCTTCATAGTGGCCTGAAGATGACCCTGAGCTCCAGCTAACATCAAGCTCCGGCAGGTCCTACTAGTACAGTCTCCCAAAGGGCCGGCCTAGCTACGTTCGAGACAATCATCCCCCAAAGTTGGCTACCAGGTGATGAACTTTATTGGAAATACACGCACAGAGGGGTTAAGCGCCTAGTCGCGTTGAGAGGGTACCCAAACTGATTTTTAAAAAAAATCTTTTGATGCACCAAAGAGTTCATGTAATTTCTCTCCCAACTAAAAATGCAAGAATCATCATCGTCACTAATGAATGCAAGGCAGTAGTTAGAAGTAGGTTGCACATTCACTCCTCGATCACCCGAGTTTGGCTTAGGTGTTCGTGCCCAGACATAAAAGTTGCGTGACATTACTCAAACGTGTGTACCAGTTCGTTTGCACACTCGGCCAAAGCACAAAAGGCCTCGGTCTAAATGCTGACTGCAGGATACCCAAGAAGAAAAGAAAAAAAAAGGTTGACGACGGGCTGCTCCGCGGACTGCAGGCTACCGGGGGGAGGCAAGCAGGGTGCGCCCGAAGTAATTCAAAAAGTGAAGGCGAGGAAGAATAGGCTACACATTGCCTTCCAGATACATCTGCTCCCTCTAAAAGAGGGGGAGGGGGCGCGGAGAGGGCGCCGCGAGGTAAGAGCTTTATTCCTTTTGTAAAAGGCAGGAGAAACCCACTTTTCAGAAGTGCCCCGGGGAAAGAGAAAGCGCTTTCCCCCTCCCACCTCCCGGGTCCCAGTCTCCTGGCCCAGGACCAGTCGCCACACGCCCGCTCCCCCAAGGAAAGCTAGACTAGTCGGCTGCACTTGCGGGGGGGCTCTCCCCAACGTGCAGCACCTGAGCAGAGCGGGGCGACCCCCGCAGGCTCCCCACTGGGAGGCTAGGGGGAGCCCCCACCCCCAGTTACCTGGCGGGAAGCAACAGCTGCAGCTGCCCCCGCCCCTGCAGCCTTCAGCCAGAAGCCGGGCTCGGACCGGAGGCGCCGCTGTAGCGCTCCCGCCGCAGTCCTTACCTCGCCGCCTGGCAGCCCTCCAGCTCCAGCTGCAGCTGCAGCTCCGGCGGCGGCGGCGGTGGCTCCTCCATGGCGGTGACGGCGGCGGCGGCGGCGGCGGCTCCGGCGGGAGGGGGGACCAGCTCGGCGGTGGCGACTGCCTCTCTCATCCGTGCACCGAGCCCGGCATGGCGGAGGCGAGAGTGAGGCTGCAGCCGGGCTGAGACTGGAGGAAGCACGGGGGCCGGGAGGCTAGCGGGACGCCGTCTCCGCCTTTATCCGGCTGCGGGAGCCCTTCGGCCCGGGAGCGTCCGCGCCGCGGCCATCTTGGAAACGGCGACCAGCCGAGAGAGAGCCCGGCTACGGCGGGCGTCGAGGGACAAGCCTCCCGAGGGCGGCGACGCGGGCGGCTGCTGCGGGCTCTGGAATTCCACGGGGCGGAGAAGAGGACCGGGGAAGGGAGGGGCAAAGGGGAGGAGGCACGCGGGGGTGGGGGGAGTTCAGGGGGGAATTCGGGGTGGGGGGGGTGCCCAGTCTGCAGCCCCGGGGCCAGGCGCTAACAGCAGCACCCGCTGGGGAGGATGCTAGGAAAGAAAGCGTGCCAGGTGTCACTGGGAGCTCGGATCCGGGTGGCAAGGCTTTCCCAGGCCCCTGCTGTGCGATCCCGGTCCCTTTTAGTAATCTACGAGAGAGGAAGGAGGTGATGCAAGCCTGAATGCAGCGGGGTATTTATTTAGACTTCTGATTGAGCGGATCAGGTCATTATGTTTCAGGAATGGTGGAATGCCATCAAAGGGGAGCTCGTCCACAATATTATTACCACGTTTCCTAAATATGATACTATTTTAGAGGTAAACACTTGAAGGAAAGTAAGGGTCGACCTTGCCACGGCAGTTAAGTAAGGCTTGTACCTTGAGAAGTTTCAAGGCTTTGCAGATCTTGGCAAATTGATCCTCATCACACCTACAGATGGCAGATTCCCCCCAGTTTACAGGCAGGGAAAGTGAAGTCTACATCACCCGGGCCACCAGCTGTGTGTGAGGCCAGCAAGGGTGGAGCTGCGTCGGCTGAAGTCATCGGCCCACATCTGCTCAAAAGCGGGGTTTTTGAGAAACGATTTTAAACTGATACCTGGGGGAATTTGAAATGCGTGTCACCACCCGAGATCATTAAATGAATCAAGTGAAGGGCCCAATTGAAAAACACTGCTACCGGATCAATTAGCGAGCTATAGAAACAGTTCAATTCAGAGCAGAAAGATAAGGTTGCCCAAGGTGATTTCAGAGCATTTTGCAGAAACTTTACAGCTTGGACACTAAGATGAACATTTACAACATTTTTTTAAAAATCGCCCGGTTAAACATTTTTAAAAAATAAATAACAATGACATTTTCTTAGTTTATGATTTGTGAAAGTTATTTCTGTACTTTTTTAAAATAATTTTTTATTTTTCTTTAACATCCGCTAAATTCTACCCCCATCTCTCCCCACTCTGATTTTTTTTTAAGAGGAAAAAATCAAAATCGATCAACATTTTTAAAAAAATATAATTCTATATTTAGTTATATGGAACGGGTATGTGTGTGTGTGTGTGTGTGTGTGTGTGTGAATACATATGTGCATCAGTCAAATGAATACACACACTCACATATACACGCTATGTTCTGCGCCTTGGACCTCTGCAAAGGTGTTGGGGAAGACATCTCATATCTTTTTTTAACTCGGGGTTTGTTTGTTTGTTTCATTAACAGACACATTTTCTTTCCCCTCCCATACCCCACCCTACTGGAAAAAAAGGAAAAAAAATCCTTTGTAACAAATATACGTAGGCAAGCAAAACAAATTCCCTCCTTGGCCATGTTCAAAAAAGTATGTTTCAGTCTGTAGCCTGAATCTATCACCTCTCTGTTAAGGAGGGAGAGAACTTATTGAATTAAGACTGAAATGTACTTATTCCCACAAACACTGCAGGACACACCTTTTAAGCAAGTCACATTAAGAAAATTATTGATTGAATATAATGAGATTAGATTTGAACCATCAGCATTTTCCAGGATGTGCAATTAACTGTTCAACATTCAAAGTCTAAGCCACTTTTCCCTGTAGTTAGAGAATATGCCTATTTCCTGCCTTGATTTATTAGCTGAACTACATTCCTGAAATAGCATTCAGAAAATTTAAATACATAAATTCATTTTATTAAGAATCATTGTTAATCTGATTTCACATGGAAAGCAAAAAGATCTTGTAAAAAGCATGAAGGTTAAAAAAACTGACAAAAAGTATGATTTGTTTCCAATCCAGAATAAGGCAAAAATGATTCTTTTGTAATAACGATTTTTCTCATCTGCATGAGGGTCACTAAATTATTTTTTAAATTCCATTATAACAATAACTCATTTATACTTCCTTTTAAGGTTTCCTGTTTCAACAACTTTGTGAGGTAGGTAGAATCCAAAATATTCTATCCTTCTCACTTTACAGATGATAAATTGAATGACTTGCTTATGACTGATAAAACAATAAGTATCAGAGAGCTAGGACTGAAACCTGAGGGACCATTACTCTTTCTACTATACCACCCTGATGCAGCAACTGGTTGTTTTCCTTTATGTTTTTTAACAAGATCAAAAGTCACAGCATTCTATAAAGTTCTCCTAAATAATTTTAGTAAGTAAAGCCATGTGTGCCTTCACTTTTTTTGTTTATCCCACCAAAGCTGGGAAAAATAAAACTTTTTCTTCTTTGAATGGATGGATTGTCAAGACTGTTCTATAATGTACAATAATTCAAATGTCTGTGGTATTCCTTTCTTTTCAAATTAATTATATTTAGCCTTATTCTTGAAATCATTCAGTTTTCTTTTCCCTGGCTCTATAATAAAAAAAGATAGGTACAATGCTCAACACAATACTTCTAAAATAATTATTATAATTATCGTTCAATTCATCAAACATTTATTAGGCTCTTTGCAAGCAGTATATACTGAATTATGATTATTTAACCTTTTGGATCCTAAACTGAATTAATCTAAAATTTTAATGTTTGAGGGATGGGATAAAGACCAATTAAGGATTAAATATGGGATTTAGAGCTGTAAAAAGCCTTAGAGTGAGCAAACAGGCCCAGAAGATTACGTAACTGCCTATAGTCAAAAAAGCAGTAACAATATTCTGCTTCCTTGACATATCCCATATACTGTTCCCATGACCAGTAATTACAGCTCCCTTTATCCAGCACTTGAAGGTTTTTCCTCACAACCCTGTGAGGTAAGTTTTGTAAGCATTATTATAGAGGCAGCTAGGTGGTGCAGTGGATAGAGCTCTGGCCTTGAAGTCAGGAGGACCTGAGTTCAAATCCAGCCTCAGGAGGACACTTGACACTAGTTGTGTGACCCTGGGCAAGTCACTTAACCCCACTGCCTCACAAAAAAAAGAAAGAAAGAAAAGAAAAATAGGACTAAAAAACAAATTTTAAAAATGTTCTTATTCACATTTTATAGGTGAATATTTAAATGACTTGGCTACTGTCATACAGCTAGGATCAATGTCATAAAACCTACTACCTGACCTCAGATACTGTGGTGTTGCAACTATATTATACTTTCTGTCTAAGTTCATTGTAGACACTCAAATAAGGAGGCAGTTAGGTGGCTCAATGGATGGAGCACTGGGCCTATAGTCAGGAAGACCTGAGTTCAAATTCAGCCTCTGATACTCACTAGCTGTATGACCCTGCACAAGTCACTTAACCTCGTTTGCTTTAATCCACTGAAGAAGGAAATAGCAAACCATTCACCCCAGTATGTTTGCCAAGAAAACCCCACCGACAGTCTGGTCCAACTGTCCACCGGTTCCCCAAAGAGTCAGATACACAACTGAACATATACCTTTACGTATAAAATTAACTTTGTTAAATATATCTGCTCAAGAGAGTAAAATCTATAAAATAAGCTGGAGAAGGAAATGGCAAACTACTCCAGTATCTTTGCCAAGAAAACCCCAAATGGGGTCAAGAAGAGTTGGACAAAACTGAAAAATGACTGAACAACAACAACGAAAATAAACTCGAGGGAAACTAGTAATGGACAATCTTTATTTTATCTTCAATTAAATATGATTATTGAATGGACAGCACTGTTAAGAGATTGATCCGCCATTTTCAGTTCAATCTCTTCCCATTACTCTGTCCCCAAAATAGGGACTGATGTGACTCTAACTCATGTAACTACTGATACATGTAGTACAGTGGAAAGACCGTTGGCCTGACATCAGTACACCCAAAGTGTATAGTCCTGGCTCTCCCATTTGCTGGCTATGTGACACTGAGCAAGTTATTTAATCTTACTGAGCCTCAGTGTCTTCATCTATAAAATGGGAGTGGAGAAATATTAACTAAGGTAATCTTTTAAATTCTTTTCTCTGATTCTAATAAAGATGCTTCACACTGAAGTGAGTTATAAAGACTGGATTAAGATGCTACAATACTAAGAATCCATTTCAGGTTTCTTAGCATTCTTTTCTCAGTGATTCCAGGCTATGAAACTCTCATTTGGGTGTTCATGTATTCAAAGTCAGTCATGTTTACTACACTAAGCTCTTCTTGTTTTCCTAGAAAGCCACAGAAGTCTTGTACAGATAGCCTCCCATTGTTATGAGGTCATTCAGCAATAATATATTTTTATGTAAAACAGGAGTTTTTAACCTAGAGGCCTACAGACTAGGAAATCTGTGAACTTGGATGGGAAAAAATTGGATCTTTATTTTCACAAACCTCTACTAAAAATTTCATATTTCAATCAATCATTAAGTTATTAATTAAAATTAACTATAAAGGACATATGAAGAAAGATGCTATCTGCGTCCAGAAAAAGAACTGATAAATAGAAGCATGTATAGAATAATTTTACATGTATATATACCTATTTGTGTCTAATGGTAGCCATCTCTGGAGGTGTGGGGGAGGAGGAAAAAAGGGAAAAAAAGAAATTTACATGATAACTATTATATATTTAAAAGGAATAGTAGGTTATGCATAATTGATTTGTAATTTCATGTGCAATCATCATTTTTATTATACTACATTATGGAATTGCTTGTTTTATTCCATAAATTAAATTGTTTTTTAATTATTAATTAAAATTAATCAATTAACTTAAAACATTGTTCTGAGAAGGGGTCCATGGACTTGAGTCTGCCAAAAGAATACTTGACAGAAAAGATTTTAAGGACCTCTGATAAAAGATAAGACAAGTATGCTGGATTGGACAGTGTACTGGATTTAGAGTCTAAATGCTGCAGAATCGAATCCTGCCCCATTTATTTACCATATGATTGCAAGTAAGCTACTTAACCTCTTATAGTCTCATTAAAATGGGGATGACAGTTGTGCTTTACCAACTTCACAGAGTTGTTGTGAGGAAAATGCTTTGTAAACATTAAAGCATCACATAAAAGCCAATTATTAATGTCTACCACCATAGCATTTGAACAAGGCTGGCATTTTGACAGAATGTATAAAAAGTGCCCACCACACTCAGCCTAACCCTGAAATCAAATGACTCACTGACTGTGACATGATAAATTGTGATGGGGATTTGTTTTCTTTATCTTACAGGCTTCCCTAACCACCAATGCTGAGGAGTTTGGGGGGCTTGTTTTCTCATCCTTTCACTTAATGAACATGGTGGGGTATTTGACTTAAATTTGTTTTCTCGCCTTTCTCTGGGGTTTTCATGGCCTTTCCCATCTATCTCCAGATCTGTGCGTGTTTGCTGAGGGACAAAGACTTCACAAGACAGGGCCGTTCTTCTCTCCAGATGCCTGCTTTGCTGCTCCGCCCAGCTCTGCAGAAGTAGAAAGAGAGTGAGTCCAAACATCCCAATCTGCTCATGACCAGAGGGTGTTTGATTCATTTTCACTCCAGCACACACAAGAAGGGCAGAGCAAACACAATAGAAAAGAATAGTTAAAACAACAACAGCAGCTCTCCAGAATTGGAGAGGCAAACCTAGATCGAGTACCTCTTTTTAAAAAAATATTTCACATTGCCTACAGGAAAGTTCTTTCTGTGAAATAAAGTGAAATCCTGGAATAGAAAATGAGTTACCACACCTAATTAATCCACACTAGAACATTTAGGTTCAATTCTTGTTTGGTAGTCAGAATTTTTATCTGAGCCAGAGTTTCTCCACCTAGTCTTTCCTGCATTGTCTCTGTCTATCTCTTCTCTCTCTCCGTCAGGAAACAGATTGCCACTTTCAGGCATCCTACCACATTACACAGTAAAGGGTGCAAATAAAAGCTTCAATGAACAGCAGGAGACCTTGAGACATTACAAAGAAGAAAAGCTTTAAAAAAAAAAGTTTAAAATAGTGTCTGAACAAAAAGGGGTGAAACTAAATTTAAGAGGAAAGGAAGTGGTCTGTTTTCAAATCAAGAACTCTCAAGGGAGATGGGGGCAGAGAGATGGCTTAGCAATGGCCCCTAACGTGGTAGAGGGACACACTTGCACCTTTACTTCTAAATGCACAGAGTGCAAAGCAGATAGGCTGAAATTTCTCATCTTCTCTGACTCCTTACAAGATATCAGCTCACGTTATTTAGGGCAATGTGTGGCTACAAAAAAATGGAATCCTTGTACGCCCCAACATTTTACATTAACCTATAGTTTGAAGATCTTTTCCCAATGAAACTCTTATCATAATTTCAGTGAGACTAGCTTTTCTTTCCCTTTCAAATTCCGTAACAGAATGTTTGACTACAATACATTTCTTCCAATCCTCCATCAGAAATTTGTTTTGTTTTCTTTAAATAGGAAAAATATCCAAAAGGCCAGTGCATAGACTACCTGGTTAACTGTAAACTATAGTGTTTATGTTATATAAAGAGTTGTTTGTAATTGACAGAACTCAGAAGGAAGGGAGGGAGCAAGCATTTAATTGCCTGTTCCCTACCAAGCACTGTGCTAAGCATTTACAAGTATTCTCTCATGTGATCCTCACAACAACCCTGGGAGGTAGGTGCTATTATTATCCCCATTTTACAGATGAGGAAGCTGAGACAGAGATTCAGTGACTTGCCCAGGATCACATAGCTAATAAGTATCTGAGGCTTCGGATCTCCCTGACTTCAGGGCCAGTGCTCTATACACAAATGGTGAAAGAAATCCAGGCATTTTGTCTTACCTTGCAGGGCTTCACCTTATATTTGGAATTTGATCAGGAGGAAACCAGAAGGAACAGGGGCCAGAAAAAAAAACCAACTTTCCTTCTCATTTAGGTGTAGATGGTATGTCTGAACAAAAAAGAGTCGTATCTTTTCGATATTGGACGTGATCTGTTTTGTGCCCATAGATACTAAAAAGGAAGAAAAGAAACCTACATAAATCACTCTGGCAGGAGGAAGGACCAAGGAGAAATGTGTAAGTTATTGAAATAATTAAGAAATCTCACTGAAGTCCTCTTCTAATGCCTTATCCCAACACAGAGATGATTTTGGTCTTTTGAAAGCCATGCCAGTAGACAGACTGATTCAACAAAGAATCATAGAAATCTCAGGAGCTGGTAAGGCTCTTGGAGACCATCTAATCAAACCTATACCTAAACCAAATCCTTTCTATATCATACCCAATAAGTGACTATCCAGCCTTTGCTGGAGGGCAGGCCTCCAGTGAGAGAGAACCCATCACCTCCCAAGCTAACTCATTCTGCTTGTGGTCAGTCCTAATTGTTAGGAAGTTTTTCTATTGTGTTGCTCCACTCTACTTTGTGTGTGCTACAGAGAAGATGTTTCTAATTCCCTCTGGTCATGAGCAGATAGGAATTTGTATACTTCATGTCTTTCTGTCTCTGCAGACTTGGGTGGAGCAATAAAGAAGCCAGATGGAATGAAGACTTGGCCATCTCATGGCCATCAAGTTTAAATTTGCCTCTCTGAACTTCCTGCCTTTGCTTTTTGGAGACAAGCAGAACATCTCCACTCCCTTTTGCATAACAATCCCTTCAAAAATTGGAACATGACTCTATTTAACTCTCTCCTCTCCTCCCCCCCAAGTGTTTTCTCCTGGCTAAACATCCTCAGATGCTTCAACCAGTCCTCACATGATATAATCTCAAGGCGCTTCAAGATCCTGGTTGCCTTCTTCAGGAAGCTTCCCCAAGCTCATCATTCTCCTACCTAAAATGTGGTATCCAGAACTAAGCACAGTACCCAAGACGTGCTCTGACAAGGGCAGGTTGCAGCGGAACCATCATCTCTCTAGTCCTGGACATTCAGCCTTTCTTAATGTAGCTCCAGATCAGGTTAGCATTCCCAACTACCATGTCATTCTATAGACATAGCCACGCCTACCATATCTTACACTTGTGAAGTTGTGAAATCTTTATATTTATCCCTATTAGATTACATCTTTTTAGACTCAGCCTAATGTTCTAACCAGTGTGTGTGGGGTGTTCAAGGAGGACCAGCATCTCTGGTGTGAGGGCTTGCCGTGCCCTTTTCAGGGCTGCTCATCCACCTTTGGTCTCCACCTGGTGCCCAGCTCTTACTTGTGACTCCAAGAAGCTGCAGCATTGGGAATTGTTACACCCCAGTAAACTGTCTCAGAAGACAGGCTAACCCAGGTTGAGTGTAACTGACAGGCCTCAAACCAGTCGGTGAGTTGGGGGGTATCTACCCCAAGCACATGAAGACTTCCTCTAGTGGAACTGGTGGATAAAACAATTTGTTCTGACAGCCATGAAGGCGGTTGAAACAGGGACCGTGGAGCGCTTAGAGCTTGGTCAGGCATTAAAGACACCAAGGTCATCCACTGCATCCTAGGGCCGTTGCCAGTCATCTTGACTTTTATCTTGCCATTGGCCTTTGATGACTCTGAAAGAGAGAGTGAGGCTGATTACTTTATGCAACTCTGCCTCACTTTAATCCAATTCACTAGCAAGTTAAGACATCACCCCATGGTGTTGTTTGTCCTCTTTGAAAAGGAAGGACAGACAACAAACAACAAACAATATTCGAGCCTGTCCAGATTTTGGGAGATCATGTCTTTTTTTCTAATATGTTAGCTATCCCTTTCAGCTTTATGTTATTGAAATTTCATAAATATTCCACTTATGCCCTTATATGAGTTAGTGATAAAAATCTTAAACAAGATAGAGTACAGCTCAGATCACTGGGGAATTCCACTGAAGCTCTCCTTCCAAGATTATATCAGATTATTAATGACTTACCCTTTTGTTCCAGCTGTTCTACTGATTTCAAATCCACCTATGTATACTATTGTCTAGCTTGAAACTAACCATCATTTCCACAAGAATAGTATGACTTTGTTAAATGCTTTGCTAAAACAGCAGTGTAAATATAAGCAAGGAGGTGGCACAGTGGATACAGCACTAGGCTTGGAATCAGGAACTCTCATCTTCATGAGTTCAAATCTGGTACTTACTAGCTATGTGATCCTGGACAAGTCACTTAACCCAATTTGCCTCAGTTTCCTCATATGTAAAATGAGCTAGAGAAGGAAATGGCAAACCACTCCAGTATCTTTGTCAAGAAAACACTAAATGAGGTCAAAGAGTCAGACTACCAAAAAAACTGATCAGCAGCAAAATATAAGTAAACTATGTCTGTAACATTTCCAAATCTCCTAGCCTTGTAAACCTGTCAAAAAAAGGAAATAAGATTAGTCTATCACAAACCTGATTATTAAGATAGGATGGAAAGGTAATTTGAAATGGGAAAAGGACCCACATGTACAAAAATATTTATAGCAGCTCTTTTTGTGGTGGCAAAGAATTGGAAATTAAGGGGCGTCCCATCAATTGGGGAATGGCTGAACAAGTTGTGGTATAGGAATGTGATGGAATACTACTGTGTTATAAGAAATGATGAGCAAGCAGACTTCAGAAAAACCTGGAAAGACTTGTATGGACTGATGCTGAGTGAAGCGAGCTGTACGCAGTAACAGCCACATTGTGCAATGACTGACTTTGACAGACTTAGCTCTTCTCAGCAATGCAAGGATTTAAGACAACTCCAAAAGACTCATGATGGAAATTGCAATCCACATCCAGGAAAAGAACCATGGAGTCTGAATGCAGATGAAAGCATACTATTTGTTCTCCTTTTCTTTTGTTGTTTTGTTTTGTTTCTTCTTTCTTATGGCTCCTCCCATTAGTTCTAATTCTATACATCATGACTAATATGAAAATATGAGTAATATGATCAGATTGCATGCCATCTTAGGGAGGGGGGAGGAGAGAGAGGAGGAGAAAACTTGAAACTCAAAATCTTATGAAAGTGAATGTTAAAAACTAAAAATAAATTATTTTTTTTTAAAAAAGAAAGAAAGGTAATTTGAAATCAGATTATGGAGCATCTTTAATGCTGGGCTAAAATATTTGGAATTTATTTTAGAGATTTATAGTTTCTCTAGGACATTGGTGTCAAAGTCAAATAGAATACCTGAAGACTACATACTGACTTATAAAACCACAAATTAACATTATCTATGTTGTATTGTATTTTTATTTATTTTGCTAAACGCTTCCCAATTACATTTTAACTTGACTAGGGCAAGGTGGGAGTTTGACATATCTGCTATAAAAAAGCTCTTTAAGCCATTCTTCTCAGCTAGGTGGAGGAGCAGTGGATAGCTCTTGGAGTCAGGAAGACCTGAATTCAAATCCCACCTCAGACACTAGCTGTGTGACCCTAGACAAGTCACTTAACCCTGTTTGCCTCAGTTTCCTCTCCCAGGACCCTTACCAAGAAAATCCCAAATGGGGTTCATGACTGAACAACAATGTATATATGTATTGTGTATATGTATATGTATATATTATATATATATATGTAATATATATATATAATACATATATATATACACATATATCTCTTATGAGATCTCTTATATGTCTTTTTGTTGCAAAAGGGTGGAATGACTATGAATAAATGAACAAACTATGCTATACATACACATGTGTGTATATATATTCATGAATACACACACATACATATATATACATATATATTATATATACTATATGTATATATATATATATATATACACACACACACACACACACACACACACACACACACACATATATATATATATATATATATATATATATTCCTTTTCCTCTTTCTTTGATCTCTTTGGGTTATAGGCAGGAGTGTGCTGGTAAATATTTAACAATCAGCTCTCTGGGGGGAAAATGTACATGACTATTATTCTACATCATGAGCATTTTCTTTATCACATTCTTAAGTCTAGACAACCAACAAAGCAGTAAATTAAGTCCTCATCTGTAGTTTGCTGATTTCTGAGGTGTAAATGCTCACACTGAAAATTTAACAATCTACTTCACATTGATTCCAATTCCAATACATTCTGGTTATAAGCCTAGGAGTGGTATCATTGGTTCAAAAGATTATGTACAATTTAGTGACTTTTAGGTCACAGTTCCAAATTGTTCTCCAGAATAACTACAGCTCTACCAATATGGCATTAATGTGCCTATTTTCCTATAGTCCTTCCAATGACTATCACTTTTTTTTGTCATCTTTGTCACTCTGATGGGTATAAGGTCTGGAATTCATTCAAGTCTTAACTCCTACAAGCAGAATTCTATACTGGATATTGATGGAAACTCCCTCCAGGAACTGACAATCTATATTGTTGTGGTTGTGTCTTTTTTCTGTGACCCCATTTGGAGTTATCTTGGCAGAGATAGTGGAGTGATTTGCTATTTCCTTCTCCAGATCATTTTACAGATGAAGAAATTGAGGCAAGCAGGATTAAGTGACTTGCCCAGGGTCACACAGCTAGTAAGTGTCTGAGGTCACATTTGAACTCAGGTCTTTCCAACTCTAGGGCCTGGGGCTCTGTAAGTAATGATGTGACATAAGCTATGACTCAGGGCCAAAATGAATGGTAAAACTAAGGGCTCTGCTTCTCTAAAACCTACTTTCAGAATCCAATTTACATTCTAACTCCTGCATGAATTTCCCCCACTATTCTAGCCTTCCTACACCTGTCTTATTTCTGAACTTCTACTTGCTGTCTTTACCACCCATTTGGTCACTTCATCATATACTACTTCAGATTCTTATTGTTCTATGGGTGTTAGTTTTGATTCTCTGAGTAGATTACAAGTTCCTGGAGTTTAGGGATCCAGTCTTCTGTTTGTTTTCTATTCCAGCACCTTGCACAATGCTCTGGGCATAAGCCTGAGAGTGCTATCTTTGGGTCGAAGGGGATGCACAGCTTAGTGATTTCTGGAGTACAGCTCCAAGTTGTTCTCCAGAATAACTAGACCAATTCAGCTACTCTTATTCATAGTAAGTAGGCACT